GTCTCTATTACAATCAAGCAAGCAAGCAAAAGCTCCTATATTTGGGTATCTCAAATCTGCTATGTAATGCTTTATTAATTCCAGCTACTGAATGTCATAGGTGAGACTACTTTGCATCATCATATGGAAGGTGCTCCCTGCCTTTGTCCAGAAGTTTTGGCTGCCTACTTGAAGCAGGGAGACCAGTACCAGTCTTTACTTAGGCCATGTCTACATTAGTAAACTATTTTGAAATTACTAAATTCTACTTAAGAACTCTTGATTTAACAAATTCAAACTAGTGTGTCCTCACTATGGGGAAGCATCGAAATTAGTCCGAGGAAGGCTCCGTTAATGTGGACATGCTATGTCAAACTTAGAGCCTCAGGAAGCACTGGGAGCTAGGGGAGGCTGCCAGGAGGCCAATAAATTCAAATTAGTGGCACCTGAGCATCCACACTTCCATTATTTTGAAATAACAGGCTTGGTAGTGTGGATGCACCACTTATACATCCAAAGGGGGGGGGGGGGGAGGAGTTATTTCGGAATAAGGACCTAGTATAGACCAGGGCTCAGTAAAATAAAAATTAAATCAGAATCTGGCAGTCTGAATCTGTACACAAACCAAACCTTATTTGCAGTACTCAGATTCAAGTCCAGAACATTCTGAACTGGCCCTGAGCAGCTTCTCCTCTAACTCAGTCTCACACAATCCTGGGTGAAGTAGTAGCAGACAAGCCTCTCTTAACTGGGCTGCAAGGTCCTGATTGATCAGTGTCTCTTCCTGTCCCTTCTAGGCTTCTGGAATACGGGTTTCAGTGGGAAGCTGGCTTGAGCAGATGAGTGTCAGGATGCTGATGCCCCAAGCAGTAAGCAAGAAGGCCTGAGAGACCTTATCACACGACACAATTTCTTGGGTTTCATAGATGAAAACTCAGATCAGCCTTAAGGGACTGGTCTAGTTTTACAGAATTAAAATTTACTCACAAGCTAAAATTTTTAAAAATGCCAGTGCACAATAAACTCCTTCTAAGCCAGAAAAAATCACTGCCTCTGTCAGTTTAATTCCACATGCTTCAGTTTGCCGCTTCAGTGTGCTTACGTTACTCTCAAGTGAAATCAAATAAAAATTTTATAGATGTTACACAGTGATTACATATTTAACATTATCAAATGTCACAGTCTATTCTCCAATAACATGCTGAAGTGGATAGACAAATTACATTCCCATATCCTGGCTAATTGGTTGTCGGTGGCTTGGTTGAGATGGCATGAATGCTGAGTTTCTACTCACCCACTAATAGACAAGATAGCAAAAAAATGCAGGCATTTCTCATTTTCTAGGGCTCTCTCGCAAAATTATCTGGTGACCTATTCTGCTTCCCTATTTTATGGAAAGTTATGTTGACTAGGAGTATACACTATCTTCTCTGAGGTAGTAAGTGAGGATGCAAGATGGGTTTTAATCTTATAATTGTATTCTGTAAAAAAAACCATGAGGAGGGAGAACAAGAAAATTGAGGGTGATTAGACAAGGAAGCCTAAATTTGGCAGAGGTGGATAAAAGGGAATGGGGGTTTCTGACTCTTTGCCCACTCACCCAAAGGGAGAGCCTCTCACTGAAGTGCTACAGTAAGCACTTGGTAGTCAAGGACTGTATCAGCAGACACCTGCGCAATAAACTGTTAATGTTGAGCTGAAGAAGTGCAGAGAAAGTTAGGTGGCAGCTTTGCGAAGCTTGACCAGAGATCCCTTTCTCTCCAGCCTAGGAACTGTTTATGGATCTAGTGGAATGGGCAATAGGTCTCACTAGACAAAAAGCTTCTATGACCTTGTAAATCTCAGGGATACTGTCCCTGACTCATTTGATCATGAGGCTTTTTTGCAGGCCTTAGAAGAGAATGAAAAAGGGAATCCATTCCTTTGAAGTTTTCTGTCTTTGTACTTTCCCTAGCAAAAGAGATCACTATCCAGAAATTACCTCAAAGAGGGGAACTGCAAATTTGCCAAGCAGAATGTTCTGAAGGGAGGCTCAGACCGTGTTCAGATGTCCTGGATTAGGGAACACCAGAATGGAGGATCCCAGTGTGGCCTGCTACTGCTGGATGCTTTAAGATGCTTAGCGCAAAGGTCTGAACTCTGGGAGTAAGAGGTAAACTCCTGTACATTTCCTGGAGAATATCTACAATACAGGTTGGACCTCCCTGGTCTGGTACCCTCAGGACCTGAGCTGTCCCAGAGTAGGGAACTTGCCGGACCAGGGGAAGTCAGTTCTCCCCTGCTGGCTGCCCCCAGGGTTCCTGTCCGTGGGGCTTCCTGCCCTATCACTCACCCTAATGCTGGCCTGTTAGGGCTCCCCACCCTGCTGCCTGCTCGCTGCCCCAGTGTTTCCTGGGGTTCCCTGTGGGGACTGTTTGGCTGCTGCCAGCCTTGCTGCTGCAGGGTTTTCCCCAGGGTTCCTGGCTGGGGTCGCCCAGACACTCCAATACATTGCTAGGGCTGCCCTGCTGCCACTGGGGATTCTATGGGTTCCCACCTCTGCCAGCCCCATTTCAGCTGGGGATTCCCTGGCAGAGGCTGTCCAGTCACTCCGGCCCTGCTGCCACCAGGGATTTCCTGGGGCTCCTTGCCAGAGCCACAAGGTCACTGGGAATCCCTGGCTGCAGCGGGGCTGTCAGGCTGGGGCCGAGACTCACCGGTGACCTGGCCCTGCTGACACAGACTCCCTGGCCACCATCTGGACGCATTGATGCTGGGGGGTCCCCAGATGTTTCCTGGCCCAGCCAAGGCTCCCCAGTCCCTGTGTTGCCTCAACTAGCTCCAGGGCTCTTTTGTCCAGCAACACCTCTGGCTCTGCAACAACCATGGATGTTGCTGGACCAGAGAATCCCAGATTTAGGAGGGTCAACCTGTAGCTGGGATTTTGACTTATCTAGCTAGAAAAAAACCCCAACAACAAAACCTTAAAACCAAATTAAAACAGAAACAAAAAGCCTTAGCCTGCAACAGGTGGAAAACACACCAACATGCATAACTGATCTAGAAAGGAAAAAAGTGCTATTTTTGTAGGTGCAAACTGGGGGTCTAAGCAGCACTATAGATGCCTACTTTCTTCTGAAGCTCCTGTAGAAACTTCAGGTACTTGGGCGTGAGGGAATTCATGTACCATGCTAAAGGACATTTTGGTCTACAGGCAGAGGGATTTTTTACCCTTTGGGTGAGTATCAGCAGGTTTGCATAGCAAGCCAGTGTCAGCCAGTCTAGGGTAATTATTATTATTAGAGGAGTCTAGTGGGAAGCAGCTGTAACATCAAGGAAAGAAAGGTTAACTCAAGGGAAAGTTCCATGTAATAGCAAACATGTCGCAGCCCAACATTACCGGGTTCAGGTACCCACTGCCAAAATGAAGCATTTGACATATTTTATAGAAAATACGTCTATGCCAAGGATTCCCAAGTTACCAAAGCTCTGTTGGAAGATCTCAAGCTTTAGGGATCACTCTCTTTGAACAATTTCAGAGCGATTTAATAGTGCCTTTAAGATGACAGAATAGGACTTTACCAAAAAGGGAATTGTCTCATTCAAGACAAATGAAAGAAGCAAATTCCTTAGCAGGCTTGGAAATGTTATGCTGCTCTGATGGTTCAACTACTACAATTTTTATGACATGTTTCCCCCAGATTAGCGTTCAGAATACTGTGAAGGATAACCCAACTCCTTGCAGTTTTTTTTTTTTTTATAAAGGATTTTTCTTTCCCACGGAGCTCATGCTTTCTCTGCTGCATGGGCTTTAGTGCATGTTCCTTACAGATTTGCAACAAATTAATCTGTACTCTATTGGTGTGTTTCTTTTAATTGTATTTATTTTTGCTCAATATGAAAACAAATAAACTTAAAGCTGGTGCTCTCCAGTACTACTGGTCCCAAGAATGTCCCCATAAAAAGTCATCCAAATAAAGAATTACACTAAATTCTCTTGTGGGAGGTCTGCTGATGTGAGCAACATTACTTATGAACACATCTGAGGCAAATGAAAAGCCAAATGTAAAATGGCTTTATGTACTGAACATGAATTGCATAAACTGGCATTCACATGTCCACTTGATGCCCATAAAACTCCCTGTCCAACTGCAAGTAGAGTGAATCTGAAGGATTCTATTTTCATGTTCTGAGGTTTTCTAAACTGGTTCAGCTATTTCAAGTAAAAACAAAAAAACAACAACCAAAAAACCCACTTCTGATATGTGACTGTAAGCAGATACTGGAGGAAATTGAGAGAAAATGGAAAAGAACTCAAGCATCCAAAGAAACCTAGAACAAGTTTTAAACATGGGAGGGAACTTCCTGACCACCATGGAGTACCTTTCATCAATGAAGAAAGCTTAAGTTTCTTTTCTGACACATCGAAACAGGAAAAGTTATGTGTCAGGCAATCTAGAGTTTTTCCCCTGGAGAGGAAAATATCATCCAATATGACTAAATCCATAATGCCTATAGAGAGCAGCTGATGGTGTTGGCAGAAAAGTATCGAAGAATCCCATGCAATGTAATTCTGGGTATTAGTTGTCAATGGGCCTAGGACAGTTGATGCTGGTAGATGAGAGGGGCAGTTCAGTTCCCTGTATACCTTAGAGAAGCTTCAGGGAGTCAGTCTTCAGCAATACATATGGCTACTTCACTTAATGTTTGGAATGTTTGTTAGCCTACCTGGAAAGAAACCAAAGGAAGATTGCCTTTAGGAAGAAATTGTAACAACTAGATTCAGTGGAAAATAAATTATTACAAAAGATGCAATAATTAGAGCTGTGTGAATAACTTTTGTTTTTTGGTTTACTGATCGTTCTAAAAATATTTTTAAAAAACCATTTAAGGTTGAACAAAACATTTTGTTTCAATTGAGCTTTTAAATTTTTAAAACTTAGTTAATAAAATTGAAGTAATTTTTAAAGATGTTTTGAATAAAATATTGAAACATTTAATTTTGAAAAATGTTAAAACATTCTGACTTTTTCACTTTTGTTTTCCCCCAGCAAAACAATTCAGTGACATCGACACAAACTCAAAATGAATATGCATTTTTAGGTGAAAAAAGTTCTGGCCAAAAAACTTTGCCCAACTCTAATAATAAGCATACTGCATATGTAATACAAAAGAAGGAAATTATGTTGCATATTAAAATAAATTAAAAGGAAATTAATTAAAACACACTAGTTTGTGTCAGAGTACATGAACTATACTTTGACTGGGTTTTATGCCAATGATTCTGTCTTTACAGGGCTATGTCAGACTTGGAGGTCTGATACAGAGAAACAAAATAGACTTCTACAAAATTCAGACTTTATCGAACTAAGTACAGCTTGTAATTATTACATAACTTAACTAGTCTCTAGTACCTTCATGAGATGCTCCTTTAAAGTCCCTTATCGGTATTTAATAGATACAACCTTTTTATTTTCTGTTTTCTCTCTATTCCATAAGCTACAGTATTTACTCCTGAACTCTATGCAATTCTGGTAGTATAAAGAGGCTTTCTGGCAACTATAACTCAAGTCCATAGTACTTATTTGTTTACTCTAAAATGAATTGTGTTTTGCTGTTTTAGCTGGGGAACTAACTAACTGGTATTCTTGAAGGAAACAGATCTCTGAAAAGAAAGGTTCATGTGACAGGAAGCATGTTGGAATAGGAAAGCTGGTGTCTTATCTTCAGGGCAGTGCTTACACAAGTGCTTCACTCATCATTCCTCGGGTCTTTAAAAGAAGTAACATACATCTTGCCATACTTTTCCTCAGTCTTACAGTTTGCTATTCAACTGCTAGCTAAAGTCTGGCTAATATTTCTCTCACATCACCACTGTTTCTGGTTCTTTGGTTATGACATCATGAGCTTTGCTGTGCAGTCTCAGCTGCCATGTCCTGCCTGATATTTGTATATGCCTTACCTCACTCCTCAGGAATCTTCACATTTTTGTTCATTTGTGAACATTATTTCTGCAAGGGATGAGTGGAAAGCTTATAACGTCTGCATCTCTAAGCAAAGGGCTTAGAAAAAATCTATGGCAATATAGACTTTTTTTTTTACAAAATCTAAATATTGTATAGAAAGTATAATATTTATTGAGAAATGAAACAAATTAGGGATTCCAAAAAGGTTAAACTTTAACTATGCACTAATTTTCATGTTGAGCTCAGAAAACAACGGAGCTATTTCTGAGTAAGTTAAAACTATGTTTCCCAGTCTTGTAATTCCACATAAGTTTAAGGAAGATGAACAAAGCTAAGAAAAATAAAGTCTCCTCTAGCCTTCACTATGCATGTGAAAAACAAGGCCAGAAATATTGTTAAATTAGTGGAGAGGCTAACAAAAGCAGTTAGGAACTTGCCTTACACAGAGTTAATTCCATGCTTCCAAAATAAAGAACTGTTGAATGGGAACAAGCCAGATTAGTTCCACAAACTAATTAAACTTTAGGATTTCTCTCAATCACGCTACAGCAACAGGGAAGTCCAGCTCTTACTAGATACATAGGAGCCCATTCTTTTGAAATGATATATTTGATGAACAGTATTATAAATAATACGTTATATTTTCCTGATATTTCAAGGTGATTGCATTCAATGCCAAAATAGAAAACTGGTGTTTATAATTCCCTAGCAGAACATTTATTTTTCAGAGGAGAAATAGAGATGATGAAAAGTTAGAGACCTAGAGAAAAAGATGTCTACAAGAAATTCAGAGTCACTGTAACCGTTCTGGTGAAATCACTCTTCACAAAAGTCACTGAGAAACAGTGGCCCATTCACGGTTATTCAACTGAGCAATTAATATTTAATAATCTATAAAACTTTAGTTACTCATTTTTAAATTTATTTTGTTATCAAAGACAATGTCCAGAAACATACAGTACTAAAGGATCTGTTCATGGCATTGTTTACAAAAGTTCCTAATAGACAGTGAATACTTTGTTTGGATGTATCCTTTATTTTATTAATGTTGAGGTGAACTAATCGATGGAACTGTTCTTTTTTTTAAAAAAAGAATCTTGCAAAGATAATATATGGAGTCTGATTTTTTAATCTGTTGGTTGAAACTCATGACAAGACTAATTAAAGATCAACTCTTGCCTATCAGTGGAACTGGGCATGGCTCTTCTGAAAAGGTCACAGATCTTTCAAATATAGGCACCATGTTGTAAATTCCGCACATACAAAATGTGTTCATGTCACTCAAATTACACAATATGGCAGTGTTATAAGTCTGAGAATTATAGTCAATTAATGGCAAAGAAGAGAGCCCAAAGCTCACATATGACTAATGACGGACAAATTTTGAAAGAGACAAATAGTATAAAACAACAGTTTTCCTGGGAGGATGTATGCACACGCATGTGTGAGAGTGCAAGTTCAACAAGAAGTTCAAATAATGGCCTGTCCATTTGCTCCAAGCTTCTTATTCAGTCTGAATTCTAAAGGCTTTCATTTCAACGATATGTTAAAATGTGAATTCAAATCCCATATAAGCCTTTATGTTGGTTGGTTCAAGCCAATTAGAATGAACAACAACTCTCCTTCTTTTGTTCTATTTGTCAGCCTCTGGGTATGTAGGGTACTTCACTGTCTCAATTTTCTCTTTCACTTTGTACGATGGGTACAGGCCTGTTCTCCCTAATTTCCTATTGATGCCTTTAGAGTAACCATCCCAGTGGTTTCCAGCCACACCAATTATATCTTCAGGTTCCATGGGGATTTCATCAGCAGTTCGTGGATGGTGAGCATAAATGGCAATCTGGTTGTGTGCATTTTGTCCTCCAAAGTAGTAGATATCATCCAAAGAGTGGAAATATGCTGAAGCATCTGGATGCAAAGTCTGCATGATTTCATAGGCAACTCGACAAACCTTGGGAAAGAAACAGAAAAGAAGCCATAACTGCTCTGTAATCATGTAACTGCTATTAGAATCCTTAACATTATATTTGAGGGGAAAATGAAAACTATACTTTTCAATAAAGGGGTGAAAACTAAAAAAAAAAAAAAAAAAAAAAAATCAAGGATTTATGAATAATCTCAGTTATCCTTTTTTTCTTCTAACAATAACTTGCAAAAAATAAAATGTGACATCTCTCTGCATAGAAAAGCTTGATAACCATCTTCCCCTGCTCTCCTCCAGCAGTTAGAGCTTTTATTCAAATAAAACATTTATTAAGCACTTCACTTATCCACTGTTAATATCCCGGACCACTCTCAGGTTTCAAGTCATGTCATGGAATAAAGCAGGAGTGGGCAATAATTTTTGGGATGCAGGAGGGGGAGGGAGGAGTGCAAGTTCTGGGAGGAGGCTCAGGACTGAACTGGAAGTTGGGTGTAGGCTCCAACTGGGTAGCACTTATTTGGTCAGCTCCAAATCCCAGTGAGCATCACAGTGGAGCTAAGGCAGGCTCCTTGCTTTCTCTGGACACATACCACTCCTGGAAGTGGGCAGCACATCCCTATGGCCCTTTTGCAGGGATCCAGGTGGCTCCATGTACAACACCTGTCTGCAGGCTCCACCCCTGCAGCTCCCACTGACCAGTTCCTGGTCAACTGGAACTCCAGAGTCCTCAATTGGAGTGGGGACAGCACTGTTTTGAATGCTTTCTCTGCAATGCTTTTACCTTAAAAATAAATATGCTTGCTTATAAAGAACTGTGTTGTAACGTAACTGTGGGTAATTACAATGTTTATAGTCTCTGAGGAGAAGGCAAATCAGAGTGCTGAGATAGTCTGTTTTGCTGGGGAACTCTCAGTGTAGGCAGGAAACTCTGCAGTCTGGAAATACTCTGGTCAGGAGGGATAGGAGTGTGTCTCTTCACTCAAGATAGGTAATATATGTGGAACTAGAAGCCTAAGAGTGTGCGTCCTTGTGCTATGCCCTGTGGAAATACAGGTGCAGTTTCTTTGAACTGTGACAGTGGGTATTGAAAGAACCACTTAATGCAACATTGGGGACATCAGCATTAGGACCAAAAGCAACACTGTCAGACTGTCACCCTGGAACAGATCCAACTTCAAAGAGATCCTGGACAAGACTCTTTAGTGTGGGCATCCTTGGTACAGCAACAGCACCACAAGCATTCCCTGGTGTAGTCAGGGGCTCTTGGCATTGGAATGTACACTGTCTTATCCCTCAGAGGGTGCTTGAAACCTTATTAACCTCTGCAGTGACAAAGTGACTTTCTGCAGATAAGAATGGCTTTTCAGCTCCCTCTCAATTAGTGCAGGAATCATCTTTAATTGCTACCTTAAGAAATGACATCAGAGTAACCCTTGAGTTATGGTCTCCATTGCTGGATTACTTTTCTTACTAACTACCTCACTGACTTCATGGGAGCATCCCAAGGTTCCTATCATGAATTTCTTTATTCAGGAGCCAAACTGGTCCAACTGCCTGCTCCAAAAAATCTGGCTGCATCCTCAAGTGCAGATACATAATGACAGTACTCGTCATCCTTCTCTCAAGCATCTATTCAGGACCAATCAGCAGATTCTTATCCATCTTCACTGACTCTCTCTGAAACTATGGACTATTACAGAGAAAATTAGAGCCCCTTCTTAAGTTCCAAGCTTTACTTCCTGGGATCAGCCATCTTGGATACCACTGCCTCGTCCATATGGATTTCAGCCATGGCCTTATTTGCCTCCCAACCTCAACGTTCAATACCAGCAAGTCATTATTTGGCTTCCCTTCAAGTAGCTCAAGTTAACTATCCAATTTCTGTTCTTCCTCTGGTGGACATCAGGAGTGCCAGACCATTGGATGCCAGACCACTGGAGTTTTACTGTAATCAGTATTTGTATGTATGATTGGTTCTCTACCAATCCTTGCAACAAACCTCGGTGCCAACTCTGCCCACATATATACACCAGCAACACCATCACAGGACCTAACCAGATCATCCATACTGTCACTGGTTCATTCTCCTGCACATCTACTAACGTAATATATGCCATCATGTGCCAACAATGCCCCACTGCTATATACATCGGCCAAACTGGACAGTCCCTACGTAAAAGAATCAATGGACACAAATCAGATATTAGGAATGGCAACATACAAAAACCTGTGGGGGAACACTTCAATCTCCCTGGACACACAATTGCAGATCTAAAGGTAGCCATCCTGCAGCAAAAAAACTTCAGGACCAGACTTCAAAGAGAAACAGCAGAGCTACAGTTCATCTTCAAGTTTGACACAATCAGCTCTGGATTAAACAAAGACTGTGAATGGCTTGCTAACTACAAAAGCAGCTTCTCCTCTCTTGGAATTCACACCTCCAGATCAGCTACTAGAAGTGGGCCTCATCCTCCTTGATTGGATCCACCTCATCATCTCCAGCCTGATTCTGGCCTGCATATTTATTCCTGCCTCTGGGAATTTCTATTACATGCATCTGACGAAGTGGGTCTTTGCCCTCGAAAGCTTATGCTCCAACACTTCGGTTAGTCTATAAGGTGCCACAGGACTCCTCTCCGCTTTTGCTGATGACAGGATATTCTTGGTTTGGGCTCTGTGAATTCCTCATCAGACATGCCTTGGTCTGAAATAGCCTGAATAAAACAACTTTCTGAATAGGCTAAAAAAAAGTTTGACTGACAGGGTTTTGGGGGAAAATATGAGGGCATGCAGTGGGGTATAATTTGAGGACGAGAGGCTTTTTTTTATCGTTAAGTTATTGTCTGCTGGCTCTGATAAATTGTTACCTCCATTTAATTATTTCTATCAGAATTAATTAATTTTATATTAGCATTAATGTTGCTGTTTGGTTATTGTATCTTTAGTTATCGTTAGGATGGAGAAGGTAAACAGCATTTTGAAGTTGTGCAATGTATTCACCTCCTTCAGCACTGATTAGTATTATGCCTGTGTACGTAATGTAATAATGCAGTCATGTTGACCTATGCTGCCAATATCTACAACTGAATTCTCTCCTGATCAGCATAAGTGTCAGCAATAGATGCTTTGTCTGATTTTAATCACGCCTTTTATTTTTTTCAATATACCCTCTATCTGCCTGCACTGATGTCTTTTGAATCAGATGGAACATCATATCTGTGAAAACACTGCTTTTAGTATACTATTTGTGTTTTAAAATCCTTAAGAATTTGTCATGATCCATGAAATTACATATACAGTGAAAGCTGAGTTATCCGACACTCATGGTGAATGATGGTTGCTGGTTAACAATGTGCTGGATGCTCAAGCAAAGGATTAGGCAGCTCAAGGCAGGCTGAGGGAGAAGAAGGTGCCTGCTGATTATGTCAGCTGGCAGCATGGCAATGCCAGATAAAGTTTTCCAGCTAACAAAGTGCCGAATAACAAAGCTTTCACTGTACTTGTAATAAAACAGAAATGCTACAATAACCACTGTATTGTTCATATTCTCACTGGACTTTGAACTGTTTCATAAGGCTACTCAAGAAAACAAGTCTTTAGCATGTGATTATTTGCACAACCCATCTAATGGATTACAGTGGATACAATGTAAATTTACTGTACTGCTTATGGACTTGTGGAAATGTAACTGACCCTGAAGAAAAAATACATTTTTTCTTTTTCCTTGTATCCTAAGTAGTAATGAACTGAGGCAGTGTTTCTCAAACTGCTCTGCGGGGCCCCAGGGCTCCGCAAGACATCTCCAGGGGCTCCGCGAGGTTTACAAACTAGAAACATCGATAAGTGCAACACATACTCAATCAGTGGACCGCTGGGACTCCGCATACATTTTTACGCATGTAAAGGGCTCCGGAGCCCAAAAAGTTTGAGAACCGCTGAACTGAGGCCAAAGGCTTGAGGTGTTTAAACCTCTCAATATCAGTTCACTGAAGTGAAGAAATTGATAGATTTGGGTAATATATTCACCGTATGCAAAATCATAGAATGTTATACAAACCTATTTACCTTCTGATTCTTTTAAATGCCCTGACTAAGCTAAGTATATTAAACTAGGATGCCTGACTTCGGCTGAAGAGGGTGCTAACAAAGAGCTTAATATGCAGATAATATTTTATGCAATCTTTAATTTTTTCATGAAAATTTCACTACAAAACATTGAGAAGATGATACTGTAGATGCACTTGCTAGCATTAAGTAAACAAACCAAACCTCAAACATGGAAAAAAATTGTCTGACAATGTATATTTAAATGTTACATTGTTGTTACCTGTGAGGAAAATGTACAGACCAGGAAGTCTGCCTGGGACAGAAAGTGGATATCCAGAATAACACCTCGCAATGAGTTTTCAGTGTATCGATTATGAAGTCCAGCTGACCAAGATATGGAGTTATCACTTATAAATTCATAATTTGGATATCTGGAAAAATATAATCTATAATTAATATCAAAATCTTACGATTAAAATTTTACAAGCATTAAGCACCAAACTAACTGTAACGGCAAATAGTTTAAGTCATAATTCTCCTTTACAGAAATTTATAGCACTGTCTTTTTTACCACTCTAGTATTTTAGTCCCCTGCCCTCACAAAGCCTCCCTCCCCCAGAAAAGATCCTTTACCATACAGAGATATGACCCCTAAAAATGGAGAAGTGCCAGAGACTCCATGAGGTCACGTAGGGACTTTATTATTGCTATTGCTTTCATGTGGAAGGCACTCAGCTACTACACTAATGTGCAGCAAGCAGAATCCTAAAATAGATAGAGAGCATGGTTACTATGTCCTGATTTCAGTATACTTTTAGCTATATTTACTACCATACTTTCTTGAAGGCTTTTAATTAGAGAATTTTATATGGAAATCAATTACAAGTGATAGAGTCAGTCAAAGAAATAAATGAATACAAATTGAAAAAAAATCAGTTGCACTTTATAACAGAGTAATTTAAATTACAGTGCTGTTCAACTGCAATTACAATGTAATTATGAAGCATATACCAAATATTTAAACGGCCAATTATTAGATTTTTAACAAAATTCATTTATCAAAATGTATAACTTGATAGTAATTACAAGATAAAGTTTCAGGTACAATACTAGTGGAGTAAGTAGTAAGTAATTAAGTCATAAAGTTAACATTATAGTTATTTGAATAAAGGGTACCTACAGTATCAAAAGAATTAATAATTCAGAGTAGCCCCTATCACAGAGGCCAGGGCAGCAACTGCTCTAGAATCAAGGTACTATAACTGGCTCTCTCAGTACCCTCCCTTTGTAGCAAAAATATATATTTTAGTTAGTATTGGTTATAAGACTATAAGTATGATGTATAATTTCATGTATAATGATTTGCTTATAAGTTCTGTAGTTTCTATTTTTCTCTGTGGCTCTCATGATTAGATAATGTTTACTGTAAGGCCTTGCTCCCTGTTAGCATTACAAATTGAGTTGTACCCCTTTGTCTGAACCACAAACTAAGTTGTGTGCTCTAGTAATTATTAATCTTGTCTGAAACTCTGTACAATTATGCGGTGTGAGGAGAGGATGTGTGTAAGTGTGACAGTCATTACAAATGCCATCATGGACTTGTAACTATGCACGATCTGCAGGACCTCTGTGTGTGGGGGTTTGTCCTTATAAAACATATGCTAACTGCTTCTCTACTGTAGTTTCAATAAACATAGTGTATTGTCTTTTCCCCTGAAAAAGATCCCATGTGCTTCTTATAAGCATAGCACCTTCTCCTGTGCTGAGAATATCTCAGAGCAAGAGATTAGCTCCAAGAGATTCCCAAATCTGCACTGTCCTTTGTGGATGATGAATCTGAGGAACTGTCCCGGATTGAAGTGTCATTAGAGGAGGTTTTGGAACAAATAGAAAAACTTAATGTTAACAAATCTCCGGGACCGGATGGCATTCATCCAAGGGTTCTAAAAGAACTCAAATGGGAAATTGCTGAGCTATTATCTGTAGTTTGTAACCTATCCTTTAAATCGGCTTCCGTACCTAATGACTGGAAGGTAGCCAACATGACACCAATACTTAAAAAGGGCTCTAGAGGCGATCCTGGCAATTACAGACCGGTAAGCCTAACTTCAGTACCGGGCAAATTAGTCGAAACAATAGTAAAGAAAAAAATTGTGAGGCATGTAGAAGAATATAATTTGTTGGACAAAAGTCAACATGGTTTCTGTAAAGGGAAATCATGTCTTACTAATATTAGAGTTCTTTAAAGAGGTTAACAAACATGCAGACAAGGGGGATCCAGTAGATATAGTATACTTAGATTTTCAGAAAGCCTTTGACAAGGTCCCTCGCCAAAGGCTCTTGTGTAAATTACATGGCCATGGGATAAGAGAGAAGGTCCTTTCTTGGATTGAGAACTGGTTAAGACAGGAAACAAAGGGTAGGAATAAATGGTAAATTTTCAGAATGGAGAGGGGTAACTAGTGGTGTCCCCCAAGGGTCAGTTCTGGGACCAATCCTTTTCAACTTATTCATAAATAATCTGGAGAAAGGGGTAAGCAGTGAGGTAGTAAAGTTTGCAGATGATACCAAACTGTTTAGGATAGTCAAGACAGAAGCAGACTGTGAGGGACTCCAAGAAGATCTCACCAAACTGAGTGATTGAGCAAAAAAATGGCAAATGAAATTTAATGTGGATAAGTGAAGAGCAGATTTTACAACCTAATCTGTTAGTATAAAATGAAGGTCTGTTTAAAGACAATAGGGATGTGTTATGTACAAGGCCATATGCTTTTAAGCAGCCACTAGGCAATAGATAAACCTGAGTTCTGTCAAAAAGGCAAATAGGATGTTAGGAATTATTAGGAAAGGGATAGAAAATAAGACCCAGAATATCTTACTGCCCCTGTATAAAACTATGGTACGCCCACATCTTGAATACTGTGTACAGATGTGGTCTCCTCACCTCAAAAAAGATATTTTGGCCTTGGAAAGGGTTCAGAAAAGGGCAACTAAAATGATTAGGAGTTTGGAACAGGTCTCATACGAAGACAGGTTAAAGCGACTGGGACTTTTCAGTTTAGAAAAGAGGAGACTGAGGGGGGATATGATAGAGGTATATAAAATCATGAGTGGTGTGGAGAAGGAGGATAAAGAAAAGTTTATTAGTTCCCATAATAGAAGAACTAGAGGACACCAAATGAAATTAATGGGTAGCAGGTTTAAAACTAATAAAAGAAAGTTCTTCTTCACACAGCATGTAGTCAACCTGTGGAACTCCTTGCCAGAGGAGGCTGTGAAGGCTAGGACTATAACAGAGTTTAAAGAGAAGCTAGATAATTTCATGGAGGTTAGGTCCATAAAAGGCTATTAGCCAGGAGACAGAAATGGTGTCCCTGGCCTCTGTTTGTCAGAGGCTGGAGAGGGATGGCAGGAGACAAATCGCTTGATCATTGTCTTCGGTCCACCCTCTCTGGGGCACCTGGTGTTGGCCACTGTCGGCAGACAAGCTACTGGGCTAGATGGACCTTTGGTTTGACCCAGTACGGCCGTTCTTATGTAAGAGCGCTGAAAATGACCAAAGTTAGAATCTTCAAACGTATCTTGTTTTGCATATCTAGGGACACTTAAATGTCAAGCTCTATTTGGCAGGAATATGCCTAATTTAAACCCTCACAATGCAAGAACTACTGGAACAATTTTTTTCAAAGATGTAACAAGTCATATACAAGGAGGTATTTCTCTCAAATTAACTAGTGATGGCCATTGAGACAGGGAAAATTCTTTGTCAAATAGCAACAGCTGGAATTGCACAAAACAAAAGAGCATTTTATGTGCTCTTATATACTTTGTTTGAAGCATCTAGCTTTGAAGGAGATGTAATTAGAATTTTGTGTCTTGAAGGAAACATTTGTTTCAACATAAAAATGATTATATTAATGAAAAATACTCAAGTTAATGACTCCGTTTTGAAGACATACTTGATTATACATAAAATGTGGAAGCTGAGGTTAGATAAGAAAAGGAAGAAACTCTCAATTTTGAGAAGATGCTTCTTGTGAATAGAGATATAGGGCCATGCATGACAAGATATAAGGGCTATATCTGTCAGAGGGAGGGGAGCGGTAACTAGGGTTTGACAGATGGTTTAACCAAAAATACTGAACCCTGCCCCCCCCCCCAAAAAAAATGGGGAAAAAATTCTGTTGAGGCAAAAAAAAGGGGGAGACCAAAGTTGATGAGAAAAAAAAAAAGGCCTTTGAGGCTTTTTGTCAGCAGCCATCTTGTTTCCCTGCTCCGAGCCAGAAGAGAGCTCCCCTGCGGAATCAGGTAAGCGGGGAGAGAGGGGACCTGGGGGCTGGGCCTGGTTGCTGAGTGTGTGTAGGGTTGCTAGGTGTCTGGTATTTTCACCCCCTGGCAGGGGAAAAAATTCAGAAAATACCGGATATTTTAGGTGTCCAGTATTTTTTGAAATTTTTCACCAGACAGGAGGGAAAAATACCGGACTGTCCGGGTCAATACTGGACACCTGGCAACCCTAGCGGTAACTAGCAGAATTTGCCTTCTTGTCTTCCCCATTGTGGTCAATACCTTCTGCCAATGTTGCACTACTGTATTTTGTTTTCCTAATGTGAGTTTAGCATATCAGCAGGCTTTATACAGACCAAAACAGCAAGAGCAATAATCTTGAATGTTATTTTAAAGTCAGAAAAAATACAATTTCTCTGCAATCAGAATTTTTTTGGCTATATATAACACATCACTATATATCACACAGCACACCTTTATGGAACTTTGGGACTAATATAAAAAGCCAAATCTCACAAAACCACTTTCAGAATCCAGGGATATATCTACAGTGCCACCCTAGTTCGAACTAGGGTTGCTAATGTAGTCATTCAAACTTGCAAATGAAGCTCGGGATTAAAATATCCCGGGCTTTATTTGCATGTTCCCAGGCGCCGCCATTTTTAAATCCCTCGCAGTTCGAACTACCTGCCCGTGGCTACACGCGGCAGTTTAAAGTTAATCCGAACTAAGTCCTTAAAAAGTGAAAAAAACAAAGTAGAACTTCTGCATACAATGAAAGAAAGAATTTAAGATGAAATTAAGGAGGATAAGCAATTTGAAGGGAAGATATGAATTTGTTGAATTTTATTGGTTATACATAGCAGAAAGTCTAATTAGATTCATGCACAAAACAGGTACATATGAAGTAAGTTTTCCCCATATAGTTTGTCTACTGCACTTAATTGTAATCTAGAACACCAATGATTCTCTTTAAAGGGAAGATTCTGGTAGCTACAACAAAAGCCTTGCCTACACTATGTCCTTTAACTGTTTGTATTTCAGCTGCATTTGTTGAACCAGATAAAGTACATATTATCAGTGTGTTCATCCTGAACAGTAACTTACAATTAAGCCAATTCAACTGCCATGACTTCATGTAACTGATACTTAAGTCTATTAAATACAGCAAAATGCACAATATTATCTTTCCTAGATCTATGCACAGAGGGAACCGTCCACACACACATCTCTCTTCTTATAAGCAGAAGGGGCATACCCTTCAGAAACATATGGAATCCTAGTTGAGAAATCCAGGGCTTATGGCAAGGTATAAGCCATGTGTGAGAGTGTGAAAGAGAGGGAGAATGTACACTTCCCTCTCCTTTCCTGAATAGAACTCTATTATCTTTTTTGCATGAGGCTCACAACTTGACAGTAGTTGCAGTCAGGAAGAGTATTTGAAACTATGCTGCCAGAGAACTAGGAGGGATCAGAGGTGGTACAGAGGCACAGAGCCTTCTCATGAATGACCCTAGCCTCTTAAGGACTGGTGACTTCCCCCAAAACTGGCCAAACCTGTTCCACAAGCATAAGCAAATCCCATCATCACATGAGATAATATGCAGATTTCTGTAAAATAATCTTCAGAGATTTCTTCCTTCTGACATGCATCTCATGGGTAGAGGCGACCCCTGCCCTTACGACCTAATTGGTTCCTGGAGAACCATTATAAGTCGAACCTTCATAAGTCGAACCCTTTTTTCCCATAGGCACAATGATAAAAATGGGGGTTATGTTCCTGGCCCGCTTTGCCAGGAAGTTGTAGACCACGGTGCGAGCTGCTCCCAGAACCAGCTGGGGGCTGTGCCAGGTGGAGGCGGCCGCCAGAGCAAGGCAGTTGTAAATGTGAGGGATCATAAGTTGGGGGTCACCTGTATTCCCCTGGCAAGTTATGATGTGGGAGGAGTAACTAGTTAAGAACTCATAAATAATTTAAAAATACAGTTTTCCAGTTTCTTTACAATTTATGTATTTGTCATATAAATTAGAGCTCAAATTGTATTATTTTAAAATATTTTTCCTCTTTTTCTGCTTTAAAATACTAAAAATAAAAATTATTTTTAAATGGGCAAGAGATTATGGTCAATTGACAAAGTCTTACCACTGAGCTGTTGCCAACCAAAACAATTCTGGAAAATTATCAATAAATCACAAGAGGGACTATAGTAAAAGTTACATTGTAATCTCAACTATATACATTAAACCACAGATACTATGTTAAGATACTGACATTAAGAATTGTAACCAATAAGGTCAGGAATTGTAGGACTCTTCCTATAGGATATGAGCAAGTCCATTACACATCTATATACAGGCAATCCCCAGGTTACGTACAAGATAGGGACTGTAGGTTTGTTCTTAAGTTGAATTTGTATGTAAGTCGGAACTGGTACATATTGTAGGGGAAACTCTAGCCAAACATTTCTCCAGAGCTCAGTTTTATTCTCCCACACCTCACTTCCCTCAGTCCTTTATTCTCAAGCTAAGGTGTCTGCTGAGAAAAGCCGCTCCGTATCTCCCTGGTCTGCTGGGGGGAAGCAGCTAGTGCAGGGTTGCCTCACCCCGTTTGTAAGTAGGGATCCGATGTAAGTTGGATCCATGTATCCCGGGGACTGCCTGTATTGTAAATGTAATTAATCTTACTTGGATTTTGCCTCTTGTAGTAGTGAAGGGTCATCTGTAGCCAAATAAACTCGTTTCTTATCTATATGCATTCTGCGGGCAAGAAGCTGGAAACGTTCTTCAACATGTACCATGTACTCTTCAATGGGATGAAATGCTGCCTCTGTTCCCACTTTGTCTGTCCTTCGGACATGAACACTGAAAAGAAAGACAGATATTGGGATTCAGCTTGTAAATGTTTTATAGTTTTTATACTAGTTTGGTAGTTGAAATTTAAATGTTATCTTAGAATAAACATTTTTGCCCCTTTATGTGTTCAGATGCGCTTTAACATGAACCACTAAATGAAACAAAAAAGGGTAAAAGGCAATGGATTCTACAGAGAAATATTCACTAAATGTAAAATTATTAATGGCAAAATCTGAAATATGCCAGGAGCCATAGGACATATTAGATTTGTGATGTAACAGAATGGGAGGTAACTGCCACCCTGCCCTTGAAAACAGAATATAATTATTACATTTTTGGAGGCCAAATGCTAATATTCTCCACATCTGTCACAGTGGAGTCTTAGAGATATAGTTCTGCAAAGCTCTCAAAGACTTCGCTATTGAGTAGGCAGATGCTGACCTTCCTTTGTTCTTTTCTACATACACACCAAGCAGGTTTTATTTAGTTGCTACACAGTGTACAATTTAAGCTTCTTCAGGAAAACTGTGTGTGACCTGTCAGGAGTAATAGCATTACATTTTCTATTGTCTGCAAAGGAAATGCATTTTTAAAATATTCCTCTTTCCTCCTACCTTTTTCTAAGCCAAAATATTGCCAAGTAATTCCAATTTTCTGTAGAGTGCTCCAAGTATACCTCTTTTGGGTTTTAAGTGGAACCTTATTTGTCCTCATCAGAACTGCATCAGTTGGACACCTTTTAGGATTTATCAAATACATCCACTAAAATCTATAGGCATTATGTTCTAAATAAATGATCTGTACTATGACATATAAATGGCTTCAGATATTGTTCAGGAATTAAAGGAAATTAAAGCCAACATATGTGGCATGAAAAGGTAAATTCATTGTCCTTATATGGACTAGTTAGTTTATTCCAGAACAGATAGTATTTTCTTTTCTTGCTCAATATTTTTAAAGATCATGTATTTACACGGTTCCAGGCAGCAGGCTATGTAGTCTGCATATCAATTCTGGATTTCCCATCAGACTTTCCCATCAAAGGGAATAGTGCAGGGGCAAAGAGAATTTTCTGCTATTAGCATTCATATGCAAGTTTCTACTCTGAATATTTAACTTTGGCAAAGTCACATGAAATGCTTATCCTTTAAAGTCAGGTGCAACCTAGCATACTTGTTGCAGGGACAACCCTTTAAGAGCAGACATTCTGGTGTTTCTAGTTCCCAGAAAGTCTGCTAAAACCAAAGCCTCCCTAGAGACAAAGCTGGTTTTAAAAATCAAGCTATGGTATCAATGGGGTGAGCATCGAGTCTCCCTACTGGATGACCTGAAGGCGTGGTTTCTAGGTCTTTTTGGGAAAGAGCCTGGGAAAGTAGCTTGAGAGGACACAGCACCAGAAGCCAATGAGCGGGCCAGGGTTGCATTCAACTGGTAAGGACCCCTAGTTCCAAGAGGAGCAAAGACAACTAGTTGGACCTGGGCTACTCAACACGTGGCACCTTGAGCCACTTCCTGGGCCACTTGCCTGCCTCGTCTCTATGGGCTACAGGCTCCAGCGGCAGAACCTCCCGGTGAGCTGAACCATGCTGTGCCACACTGAGCCAGGCCACGTGCGCAGGAGCTGCTGGCTGGTGGGAGGCAGTGGGGGAGGAGGGCAGCAAGAGGTGGCAGCAGAGCATGCCTGCTGCACTGGCCACAGCAGCAGCGTCTCCCCACAAGTGGAGCCGCGTGGCACCACAGTGAGCCAGGCCACATTGGTGCATGCGCAGGAGCTGACATGGTCAGCAAGAGGCAGCGGGGGAGTCGGGCAGCGAGGCACGTGGCAAGTCAGTGGCAGAGCTGGGCAGTAAGGGTATGTCTAGACTACATGCCTCTGTCGCCAGAGGCATGTAGATTAGGCTACCAGACTTAGGAAAATGAAGCGGCGATTTAAATAATCGCTGCTTCATTTAAATTTACATGGCTGCCGCGCTGAGCCGACAAACAGCTGATCAGCTGTTTGTCGGCTCAGCGCGGCAGCCATGTAAATTTAAATGAAGCAGCGATTATTTAAATCGCCGCTTCATTTTCCTAAGTCTGGTAGCCTAATCTACATGCCTCTGGCGACAGAGGCATGTAGTCTAGACGTACCCTCAGAGACATGGCAAGGCGGTGGTGGAGCCAGGCAGCGATGCTGGGGTGAGAAAAGTCTGCGCTGGGTCTTGGGTAGGGTTACCATACATCCACTTTTTCCCGGACATGTCCTTGTTTTCACATGTTAAAATCACCATCCGGATGAGTTTTTTAGAAGGCAAAAAATGTCCGGGATTTTGTGCCCTGCAAAATGTATCAGGCAGGGGGCGGCAGCATGTGCCTTCAATGGAATGTTTGAAGCTGCACACCCGGACCATTCGCAGCCGCTCTGCGCACACACCCCAGCGCCTAGAGGGAAATGCGCATGGCTCCAGTGAGACCCAGGGGGTTTCCCTCCTCGAGAGCTGGGGACATAAATCTAGTGGGGCAGACAGTAAGGGCATTGGGTTGGAGCGGGGGAGAGGGGGGTAACTGTCTCTAGGGAAAGGGTGGGTGCACTGGGTTAGGGCAGTAGGGTCTGGAGGGTACCTGGCTCTGGGGGAAGGGGGCATTGGGTTGGAGTGGGAGGGCTAGGGTGTCTGGCTCTGGGGGAGGGATGGGTGTATGGGGTTAGAACAGGGAACTGGGCGTTAAAACTTATGGATTCTTTCCTTTCCTGTAGGTGGGCAGCTGGTCTGTTGCTTAGATTTGGGGGTTCCAGTCTCTGCTCTATGAGGACTGTGGGAGCTAGTGCTTGGTGGGGCGGGCAGTGGAAAGGAAGGGATTATGGGAAGCAGGATTCCTGAGTTCTTTTTCTATCCATGCCACTTCTCCTCTGGGTGCCTTTAACTTCACACTAATTGTATTTATATTTCAGTAAATATTGTATTGGCAGTTTTTGTTTGATTTGTTAAAATTGTGAAGCCAAAACAAAAAAGTAGTCAATATAATGGTCTTCTGCTGATATGCGTTTTAGTAGTTTAATTCCTGGATTGTTATTGCTCACTAAACATGCTGTCAAGTGTGTGGAAATTGGGTAAATTTTATTAATATCAGCAGAACTGAGTTAAATGGGGCCTGCATGTTGTATAGTTTTGCCTTAATCTTTGTATTCATGCCCGTCAGTGTGACGTTATCTACATATATTTGCATAAATATTTGCATATACATTTACATATTTATGCGACCACATTTAAGTTGCGGCCCTTGACATGTGCTGTGTGCTACAATAAAAAGGAAGGAAAAAGTATTTGTAGGCCCTAGTGTAAGGTCTGTGGACACCTAAATACAAGACACAGATAGGAAGATTATAGGAATATAGATTTTACTGTAAATCATTCATCTATAATATATATTTTAATAAACCAGACTAGTGAACTGGAGATACTTAAATTCTGTTTTTAAAAGATGTGATCAACAGAAACATTGACGTGTTTACGAGAAAACGGATGCTCAGCTGAGCACCCAATAAGATAGAAGTAAACGACTGTAATATAGCATAAAATGACGGACCTGAGATTTCTAAATATGTGGAGTCTAGTTTTGGATCTATCATAGGTTGGAGATTTGTTGTTAATTAACATTTATGATGTGCAATAAATACACATACAATTTCTGGGCTAACAGGAAAAAAAAATCTCCTACCCTATAACTGGATGTTTGAAACCGAGTTTCCTTGTTGCTTCTTCAATTTCCTTTTCTAGCCATGGTTGCGGACGAATCAAATATTTGACAAACTGCGAGACCCACCACACCGCAGGATCTCCATGGACACGAATTAGTCTATCAGCAAGATCTTCTGGGATAGCCAATGGCAAATAAGGTGGCCGTGGATGCAAGCTGTCAACGATGGGAAGTTCTACAACCTGAACATTCTTATCATTTGCTTCACCTGTATCAGAATACATAATAGGATGAGCCAAGTATTTCAGTTCAATAATCTAAATTATGTGCTGTATGAGAATATGTAACATTTCAGATGGATCACCAAAACAGGATTTTCAATTTGTTAACAATAAGGCTAATGAAACCCCTTTATTTTTGTTGAAATTTTATTTATAATAATGGATTAATTTTATACAATTGTCTGTGTCTCTAACAACCTATACCATCAGAATGTCCCTTCATTGGAATTAGATGGTTTTAAACCAATAAATCCTCTTAAAATATCACTACTGAGCTTCTAGGTCTACTTGGACATGTCTTACAATTCCAGATAATCAGACTGAAGTTGAGTGTTTAAAAATAAATCAAGAATATTATTTCACACTGCAAGAACTGGGTGGCAGAAAAATGCAACCATAAATTTCTGCAGTGTTTCAATATGGGGCAGTTTTAAGTGTAGTCGCTTATCAAACTTTTCCATATACAGTAAAAGCTCTGATATCCAGCTCTCAATTAACCAGAAAGTTCAATTTACCAGCTTTTTTTAAATCTCCCAATAAAAATCTTCAGTCCACTAGTGGGGACTAGTATACTGCCCAACATGTTATGCAATTGTATATTCTGCATTCTACTTCTATGCAAAAGTAGCAGAAGACAAACAAGCAAGCTGAAATCAGGGATTTTTTTTCCAAAAAAGCAGCTTCCAGGGTGTCATAAGGTCATTACAGATTTGGCCCAGTCTCCTACATCTACAAGAAGAAGATTTAAATGACATTGCTCGGGTCCCTCACTCAAATAAGTTTTGTTTTTCTTCATTTATATTATTGTTCTCAAGTAGGGTTGGGGATGCAGGCTACCCTGGGGACACAAGACTACTCCAGCCCTCTCTCATCAGAGCACGTTGGGGACTGATGAGATGTGCCTGTCCATACCCACCGAAGCAGTTACAGCCAGGAGATGGGTGCATGTCCCCCAGCTAGGGACACACAAACGCACATACAAACTCTCTGAAATATATAGTAGATAATTGGCCCTTTCTCCACCTCTGTCCTCTGCTGGCCCAATGGGGTTATAGCTATCCTGGTCCCCATCTCTGGCCTCTTGCTGCCCCTCCATCAAGATTCTACAGTATAACTGTCCCTTCTACCAGACCTCTCCCTTTCCATTGTATGAGAAACAATCAATCAAATTCCAGGCACCTTCCATTATCCTGGCACAACCAAACCCATACCTTGATTTAAAGCTGCAGACTCAATTTGGTGGCTCTAGCTCTTATCGTTTAGAAGTTCTCGAACAAACTGACTCACAGGCAGACAGACAAAAAGACAGATGCACATTTCTAAAATCAATAGTAAGTTGATAACTCATGTTGATAATAATGACCTAAGACACTAGAAGACCCTGAAGTGCCTTCTGAATCATCAAAGAAAGATTAAATTATGTTCAATAGAGTTTTAGGAGTAACTGTAATTTCAGTGATTTGGGTGTATGTCATGAACTGCCCACAGTAATAAATAGTGTTATAAGATAAACTCATGTATAGAAAACTTAACCAATATACAACTAAGAGCTTCAAGAAACCAACCACTCTGCAGTGCAGCAGTACTACTGGATTGATAAGTACCTGTATTCTATTGTATTCATTTTATTGTATGCCAATTCTTTGAAAATTGGTATTCCATTGGTAAAAGTATAACACACAGTTAACTAGGCTATCCAATTAACTAGTACCCTCATAGCCCCAATATGCTGGACAACAGAGCTTTTACTGTATTATTATTTAATATTTATATTTCAGTAGAACCCAGAAGCTCCTGGCATGATAAAAATAGTCTGTTGAGCTAGTTGCTGTACAGAGGAAGACAGATTTTAGCCTGAAGAGCTTATGATTTATAATGAGCAGTATGCCTGGCATAGGAGAGAGGGAGACAATCAAAAGCACATTGTATACATATGCATGCATTTGCCCGGTTTTAAATATTAATTATAACAATTGGTTTCTGCACACATTGGGTTGCACTATTAACAGTTAAAAGCCACGGCAAAGAAATCTTTCAGATCTGGGGTCCCATTATTAGGACAAGACTCTAATTCTATTAACTATACCTTTAGATTAACTTCTCAGATAAGAATAAAAATGTCCATATTGCTGGTTTTCCCAGAACTCATTTCACATGCTGAACATAAGCAATGACAATCAGATAGAAGCATCAGAACACATTACTATACATTTTCATTTTTAAAACCCGAAAGATTTAGATATGCATTTCTAGTAGGTTGATCAATTCACAGAAGATGTCATAGTCTGCAATGGGTGTCAGTGCAACACGGAGCTGATCCCTGGACCACTACAGAAAGAATGCATGATGAGTGGCTCTGAGGATAAGTGTGTTTTCAATGTAAGCTATCAGAAACAAACCTGGTAAAAATACTTTTGCTGTACTATGAATGGACTATTCTATGAAGGTTTGGAAGTTAAAAACGATCAGAAAATAATTGTTAACTTTCAAGAAGGCTAATTGGCAGACAAAATCTATTTGGTGTAAGTAAGCATAATGAATCTATCTTATTCAGTAAAAGGGGGAATCAGAAAATTCCCTCGGTTGAAACTGTTCAGTGTGTATGTACAATTCATTTCAGTACATTTGTAAAACAAAGCCCATGAAACATGACATTTATTGCATGATTAAAAGGCAAGCTTCAAGAATTTCTTCACTGATATTGAAGAGCACATCAAAGCTGGCAGTCAAGGTCAGGACTAACACCAATACACTCAGTGAGTTGTAGAACTTTAATCAGAAGCTGGTTGGTTAAGGTGAAATTATTTTCAATTAATGTTTTCTGGAAAGAAACCTACAATTTATGTCGATGCAAATAATTATTACTTATTTAATTTAGAGATGTACCTGTATGTTTTTTGGAATTTGAGCCTCATGCTGCATAGAACCACATTTTAACATGTATCTGATAAAGTTATCAGTTCAAAAACTGAAAATAAAATAAAACACTAATGGGTTGCTAAACTGGGAGCATCTTAATAGTGTAGTTAGAGTGATTAAGCTAAATTAGCCAATTGTCCCAGTGTAGATGCAGTTATACCACTATAATTGAGCCTATTCTTACATAACTTATGCCAATTCAATGCCATTATAAATCAATGTTTCACCCTCATCTGGAATACTGTGTTCAGTACTGGTCACCACATTTCTAAGAGAATTTTACAGAAGTAAAGGGAGTTCAGAAATGGGCTCTCATATGAAGAAAGACTGAAAAGACTGATATGTTTACATTACAGATCAATAACAGTTCACTATTATAAAATATACAAAATATTGAATTTTGAATGATAAACTGAAAGGAGGAAATACTTTTTCCTTATAACAAAATTAGACTGTGGAAAAAAAATGGTTACCAACTTTTTGTAACTTGTTCTTCAAGATGTGTTGCTCATGTCCATACATAGCTGTCAGAAGGTTTTTCCCCTAGCAGTACCTGGTCAGCTGTGGAGACTCCTGGAGTGGTGCTGTATCTAGTCCACTGCTGATCATCTCCCTGCTCAGTTTCTTCTTGCTGGAAGACTCCAACAGAGGGTGGATCTTGAACTAGACATGAGCCACACATCTTGAGAACAACAGTTACAAAAGGCAGGTTACTGTTTCTTCTTCTTTGAGTAAATGCTCATGTTAGTTCCAAGCAGGAGACTCTCAAGCAGTTATCTGAGGGAGTCTGAGATCACTAAGCTGCAGACTGAAGCATTGTTCTTTCGAATTCAGCATCATCTCTGGTATGCTGACACATGGTGTAGTGAGGGAAGGACGGGACTGTTCCCCACTAACAAGAGAAACTACTTACATTATCTAAATAATAAATAATTAACTATCAATTATTTACAAGAAAATCAGCTAATGCTAGGGAAGACTTTTGCCTGAGATAAGAGAAGGAAAGTTCTAATCACCATCACCACTAACGGTAAGAAGGATCTGGGGGAGGGGGGAGGAATGGTAGTGGACTATATATAGCACCATAACAGTGCCACTTCAGGGGGCTCAACAGCTGACCAATGGGTACTGCTACGGGAGAAACCTTCCGAGGACTATGCATGTGGTGCACACATACTCGGAATCAACATGAACAATCCCTCAAACTCATTGTAATAGTAATTTTTTAAAAAAATGTAAAAGGCTATGAAACCTCCTGCTTCAATCTCTATTGAAGTTAGGTGACTAACAAAAGTGTGTTATCCTCAAAACAGTGCTGAAGTTTATTTTTAAAGTGGTGCAGCCTTATACAGGCACTCTGCAGAGCAGTTAATTGCTCCTGAAAATATGCTATAGTTTTCAAACTTATAGCTTTCTGGTGTACCAATAGTTGAGCACAATAGCCTTCCCATATTCTAACACCATTGGTAGTAAGCTCTCTCTAACATTTCCCATTAGTCTTCTCTGAGTGGTCTTAAAACAAAAATGCCATCAGGGAGCCCATTCGTGTAGTAGTGCAGAAGCAGCACTTCAAGGATAAGAGAGGGAGAACTACAAGATGTGTCCACAATCATGAATTTCTGCCCATTTTCCAGGGAATTTGATTCCTTCTTTCCTCATTTCTTCCTGATAAAAATCATTTTGGCTTTATTTTCAATATACAGGGCTCGACAAATGAGCTCACCTGCAGCGAGTAGATTTTATCAGCTGGCGAGTGCAGGGGCGGAATGGCCCAGTGGGCGGTTGTGACGGGCTGGCCAAAGGCCGCACTACGGGTGGCGTGGCCCCATCTGATCCGCCGGCCAAGCAGAGGAGCGGAGCGCTGCCAGGAAGGGGAAACACAGTGATTCTCAGTGCTGGGCTGCCTGTGTGCAGCTCCAGCGCGAGGAGGCAGGGCATGAGCCAGAGGGTGGGATGCTGGCAGACGCCAGGATGCTGGTGTGACATGGTCCCGTTGATTTTAAAGGGCCGCGGCAGCTCAGCTCTGGCTGCGTGGCCCCGGAAGCTGGCTGCGGCACAGCCAGGCCAC